AAGTTTGTAGAAGCCTTCTACTCAATTCAAATTCTTTGTTAGGAACATGCCTCCAGAGCAGGGCAAACAGGGAGATTTTCCATATTGCACTGCACGATCCAGTATCTGAGGATACAATAGTGTCCAAAAAAGAATGATACATAGTGAAATCAAAATGCTCCAGCAGGAATATCGCCTGCTAATCAACAAATCAAGCATAACATCATAGTGGGTATGCCAATTTGAGCGACATTAACTTCCTTCTCTCTGCTGTCCAAGTAATCGGGCGAGGTTTTTTCCTCTATTTCTCACGATCGTGGTAGTTCAAGAGAAATGTACAGAGAGATTAAAAACAATCCATTTCTTGTACACTGAAAATTTTTTATTTCTTATTTTACATATCATGCCAGTACCAAACTATTTTCAATGTAAGTAGAGATAGTTAATTTATTTTACACTAGATCTCAGCACTAGCCAATTATGTATTTTATAATGTTTAGTTCAGTTAGGTTTTCAAATGCACATGGTTTGTGTTCCATGATAAAATATATTTTTTAATATTGTGTACATTATGGAATCAGAGTCAAAAAGTGACTTGGATTCTAATTTTGATATTAATGGACCTGAGAATGATTTTGAAATAACTCATTTTTATGCAAGTTCGGATAGTGAATCTAAAAGTTATGATGAAGCTCTACTGTTGCCTGGATGAGTATGGACTAAATTTGTATCTTTGAAAATGCAATTAGATTTTGTGGCTATCATGGGTTAGCTATTTTAGTATATATACCGAAAAAATATGCACAAAACATTAGATTTTGTGGATTATGGGACAGTCACCAAGTTAAAGGAAATTGTGACCTTATCTTCATTATTTGTGATATATAGATGAATTTTATTACAGTATTCTTTAGTACTGCAATTTTATTATCAATTTATCCTTGGAGGCATATTGTATTGCATATAATTATAAGAACTTAAAAGAAAAGCAACACACAAATTATCATCACATCTATTAAACTGATTTGAATGAAGTTTGCAAAACGAGTTTTCGTGGTCAGATTAGAACCACTTACAAAAAATACAGCAAGTAAGCAAAACACTTTCCTCCAAAAGGGTACTTTCTGATTATCCACACTCCACAAAAAGTTACCAACTCACTGGCAACTTTGTGAATTAACAAATACATTGATTAGTCTATATTTTAGGGTACCCTTTAGATTATCACCAAGTTGCTTCTTTTATGGTAACTTGAGGAGTGGAATGTTATGGAAACCCTGTTATGACATGATTGGTTATAATGCATGATTTTGACTGATGGGAAAATAATCATAAGGGCTCACTTAGGTATGGATGTTTTGGTTAGGAAGTACATAGCGTATTTTGAGCTTTACATTGTAAACTGCCTGCTGGTGGTGGTACGATTAATTTGAAGTTTATGTACACTTTGAAACAACTGGGAAAGAAAACATTAATTGACTGGCGTATAAATGAAAATTTAAATGGCCTGTTAAGCTCTCAGTAAATTACGCAGGGAGATTTAAGGATTTCGAAACCAAAGCTCACATCAACACTATGGAAGGTATGTGGGGTGAAATAAGAAGGGATTTTCGAAAGAAATGCTATCGACAGTTCGGAGGATATTTTTCATTTTTACTTTCTTGAATTAACTGGCAACAGCAGTATACAGATTCTAGTTTAGATAATTTTAAATAGTTTTTGGGTGCTATCTTACACATATTGAAGAAACAGAAATTTTTAAATAAGGTAAGGTCGATATTTCCTTTATGTACTGCATACATTAGTTAATATGTATTTTCATTTTTATGTTATTTCCTTGTTTGATTTAAAATGCAGTTTATCAAGATTATATATTTTTTGTTTTAATTATGTTTTATTGCATTACATTTTGGATGCCATTTTACTGCAGAGGATGTTGGATGTAAACAGGGATAGTGCCAAAAAATCACCAAGGGATAACCCCGAAATATATTTTTACCAAAACATTTGTTTGGCTACTTTTATGACTCATAAGTACTGTTCTGTTCCTAAATAATAACGATAAAAGACATTTTATGAGAAACAAGAAATTGCATCAGAAAAAACAGAAGTCTATATGGTTGTTATTTACATTTTCAGAGCTAGTGGATACTGCTTAGCCAAACAACACTAAAATATACAGCATAGAATTCCATGTGTACTCAGAGGTGTGTGATATATATCTGCATGGGTTGGCTACAGTAATATATATATTGAAAAAATATGCACAAAACACAATTATACTTATTGTTGAAACTAGAGGTGTGGATAATGAGAAAGATTAAAAAAATTATGGTCATGACATTTTGAGAACCAAATTTGACGCTGATCACTGAGAATGTTTCTATCAAATTTGATAGATACCCACTAGCTAAAACGTGTCTCCCAGTAACATCAGGCATTTTTGAGCTGACTGCATTATACTATAAATTCATTGGAATACACATTTTGTAAATGTTTACATACTTTTTGATCATCCTATATTTTTCTTACATAGCTCTATGTATACCTCATGAGTTTCAACATCAAATATATGAAGATTATAAAAGATTTAATTAGGTAACTGTAATTTATTAAAATATATGAAGATTATAAAAGATTTAATTAGGCAACTGTAATTCATTAAAATATATTAAACATATATGAAGATTATAAAAGATTTAACTAGGCAACTATAACTTAGCTTCTAAAAGGGACACCTTCTATGAAAAACAGAAATTTACATTAACTTGTTCATAATGATGCCATTTAAGTTTCACAGTGTCTTTTGAAATTAATGACATTTGCTTAGTCTAACTGGAATGAGAATAAACATTAGGCAGTAATATAAACACAGGTACGGGTAATATAAGTACAACTCCAATTATCCGAATCAACTGAAGAAGAGGTGGAAAAGGAAAGAGAAGAGACAGGAGAAGATGAGGATGGCGGGTTACTTGAGGAATTAAGAAACCTTTTGAAAATTTCTGGATGCTCCGAAGTTTGTGCTGACGATACAGTAGAACAAATGGTATGCGTTTTGTCAGATCCTGGGTTTCAAATTCTAAATGATTATGAACTTATTGAAAGTGTGGGAGAAGAAAGTGTCGAGGAAGAAGATGACCTTAATGTCGACTTTGAAGCAGACACGGGACAAACAACTGTAAAGCATTTGCCTGCCTTGAAGTAGATGGAGTGCGAGCCCGAGTGTGACCACATGCAACTTCTCATTGTCAGGCGGATGGCCGTCTTGGCTGCCCGAAAACGGATAAGACAGTTAAACAGCTTACTTTTGACCGAGATGTTCAGCAAGCAAAGACTTTCAGCACTTATAAATACTGTATAGTACGCTATATAACATGCACGTAAAAGTGTTGCCTTTTCATTGTAATTATTTAAAAACCTCTCTTTCTTTAAAAATAGTTGGTTAATCTTTTGGATTATGGTAACTTGGCGATTTTTGGCGACCAACCATGCTACAGTAACCTGCTAGTTTTTGTTTGGATGCCATTTTGTTTTCACAAAGTAAAGGCTTTTTTTTTTTACTCAACATTTTTTTCCAACAATCTGCTAGCTGAATTACGCTTATGCTAGAACTTTTATGGAACAAAAGTGCTTAATCATGACGAATATTAGGTGCGAAATTGGGAGAAAGTGCAGAATCGCAAACTGCTTGCCGCGTTTTTAAGAATTCCACATACATGGTATCCATGTACACGTCAACCTACTTTCACTTAAAAAACATCCCAGAATTGCAAAAAAATGGCATTGCGCACACTCTTGATTTTATCCATGTACACTGCTAAAGTCCTAGCTAGTAACCTTTATAGCCTTACCAAAATGTCGCCAAACTACCTGTTACCATATTCCAAAGATTAGCCAAATAGTTTTTTTTTCTTTCCATTTCAACATACAGTAATTAATTAAAGTGTTTATTCGGAAAAAATCCAATTATCTGAATGGGGTTCAGCCCCAACTGATCCAGATAATTGGAGTTCTAATGTAGAGTAAGAATAAAAGATTTGCTTCAGATAAGAAATTAGGAGGAGGGGAATATAATAATGCAAAAAAACAATACTTTGATGTTGCAGCTTTGAGATTTGGCTTGGGTGTTCAAATCTGTTATCATGGGTCTGATCAATATTTATTAAAACTCTTACATATAATTTCAATACATATTCGAAAACATTATTAGTTTTAACTTTTCTATACATAGTTTACGAATACAGAATCAAATAAATGCTTTAAACAATATTGTTCAACAGAATGTATAAATACCTGAAATAAATTAAATCAACAAACCTGAAAGTTGCGACTTAATATGTACAGAAAAATTGCTGAAATAATATCTATCATATGAAGTATATCACTACTAAATAAATCACTCTTAGATACTTTAACTCTTTCGCATCGAAGTCGCCCGTGACGCCCGTTCATTCAGGCAACGGCAAACCGGCCCAACGCCTCGTTTATTTTCTATCTAGTGCTTTCCCCCTCCACGTTAGTGTATGGCTCATTGGTTTCACGAGTTTTAAGAGACATGTCAATCATTCTTTTGAAGCAACTAAAGGAGAAATACGGAAAGCTATTGACGTCGCAGGTGCAATCCGGCCCTAAGGAGAAACTGCACACAATGGATGAAACCGCAGAAAAACCCCGAAGAGAGCAGCATTCATTTCCCTTAAGTAGGTTATTGTTAATGTTGTAGCTATTTACTAGGCAGGGGGAAAGAAAATCCATTCCAAGACAAATTCGTAAACACGGGTGTTTTCGATGTTTGATGAAAACAGATCTGGTTGTCTCTCAATGCGAAAGAGTTAAGCATTACAGTTCATAAGATAATAGTTGAATTCACACTCAATGAATTTATAGAACATAACAGAAAAATCTTCTACACTTTTTTCCATATCTAAAAACACTCAACCACTATTCTTAGTGACTGAGCTTACCACGAATATATTACATTTAAAAAAAAGTGTTTAAAGTTCAACTGAAATTACATATTTATAATAAACTCTATACTTTTATTGCAAATATACAGTAAAATAGTATAGAAATGAAGAACTAGAAAAATTAAAACTTTTCCATAGAAACTTTTGCATCTTCATCAGTCTCAACACTCAATTCCTCAAGCAATTCTTTTTTACTTTTAGGGTAGCCTTCTAAAATGGCATCAATCATATCATTGGCAAGACGTTTCCTTTTTTGCCATTCTTTAGAGTACTTAATTTTATCTTTATGCAATGCTTCTCTTTCTTTAGGTCTGACACAATCAGAATTTGATTCAAGAGCACTTAATTTTTCTTCAAGTAACGGAATTTCTTTCTGTAAAGCATTCAACTCTACGCCAGCTTCTTCAGTAGTCAAACTTTTATTCAAAGTCGCAAGATGATTTTCAGCATTTTTTATCATTCTTTGAATCTCGCTTAATGTAAGTCCTAGATTATTGATTTGTGCATCCATTTGTTTTATATCAGAATCTTGAGCAACAGGTAATTCACTTTGATCAACAAAATAAATTTTTTGCTTACCATAAGTTTTTTCTTTAATTTTTCCAGCTGCAGTCAACTGCTCCAAAGCTTTGATGATTGCAGCTTTACTATGGTCTTTGTGCATGTTGTTAAAAATATCAATAACACTGTACGGGCGATTCTGACCAACTAAATAGTCCATAACATCATTTGGAACAGAAGCATTGTTTGACTTTGCGCTCATTTTTACTCTAATGCTTCAAAATAAAAAAAAAAAAAAATTCAACACACACATAAAAAATATATTTTTACACATTTCCAGTACTACAAGTAGTTAACGAGTACCATAAACAACTTTCGCGCCTATTTACAACCTCATTCAATGTAGAAAGGTGTCTTGTTTTGCACCTGTTATTTTAAGTCTTAATGCCCGCAAGGTGAAAAATCAGATAAGAAGGAAAGGCAAATAGATGAGATAGTAAAAAGAAATTCGTAGCAAATGATATGAATTTTTGTTTATAATACCAGATCAAAAAGTGAGTTAAAAATAAAATAAAAGCCCAGACTATATAAAAATTTATTTATAAGCATAAATTATATAGAGAATATGGAAGAGGAGTGTGAATAATGTAATGCATAGTGTCTCATCAACTAAAGACCCCTAATGCATCGTTGTATATAAGTAGTATACTAGTAAGAAGTGAAATATATTGGCCTAATTTTAAACAATCTATAATCATTCTACTTGGTTGTGTACCCTTAGCCTCATTTGTCAATCTAGCATGTTCAGCGTGTGCAAAAGAAGACAATTGCCAACTTTGTCTGTCTGTCTGCTTTCAGTTGTTATACTTGCGTTGGTAGGTTTCTAAAGTATGTGTTGATCTTATAAAGTCATTTTTAACTTTATTAAAAGTAAGTTTGATAAGAAATTGAGTTTTTTATTATATAAATTATTGGAAACTGACTGTAACTATTGTAAATTATAATGAATTCTTAATGGAAGGTTTTTGTGTTGTTTTTTAAACTTCTTTCGCCTTTCTCTGCACCTATTACTAATGAATTTGAAATATTTATAATTCTTTGTTAGTTCCTTTGCCAGTTTCTTCTTTAATTACATATTTATTTCTTACTTGCTCTGAAAAATATGTTCAAACTGTCCAAATTTATAAGGATGAATTTTCGTTTTCATTCTTTTTCTTGTTTGATGTTAATATTTAATAACTAAACTACACATTTTCTAGAACTACATATAAGTAAAAAAAATTATTTGAAATTTTTTAATTTCGACTATTATTTGATTACTGAAGCATTTATATTATGGAAAGTAAATCCATCCTGTATGTCGGTTCTATGCATTGGTTCAAATGCAGAAAGTAGTTGCATTGTACTTATTTCAGTAACTGTGAAATAATATTTAAATATGAAACCTAATGCCATTTATTTTCTATATGAAAAAAACTAATTAAATCTTGAGGTGATGTGTATTAGTTTTTCTCATTCTTTCAGTTGTTTTGAAATTTTTTTATCTAAACATTTTTGTTTACGTGTTATTTCACTATAGAAAGCAGTACTTGTTATTTTGCTCCAGAAAGTAGGTAAGTCTTCTTCATTAAACAGGTAATGAATTGCTGTGAGCTATTTTACAAGGTGTGGCTATTAATTTCCAGTACTGCTCTAATAACACCAGAACAGATGATGTGAAAAACGTAATCTTTTAATATGTTTTGAAGTAATCCCCATCTGCTGTAATACACTTCTGTGCTCGGCTGTATATGTTGTGGAAACAACTTTTAAAGTTCTCTTTCAGAAGGCTCTTCAATGTTGACGTCACATTCTTGATGTCTTGTCATCCACAAAGCGTGTTCTTTTGATCACAGTTTTGAGTTTGAGAAACAAGAAAAAGTCTGTGGGGGGGGGCAAATCAGGAGAGTACGGCAGATGATACAGCTCCGCGACTTCATGCTTGGTCAAAAACCTCTTCACTGGGAATGCAATGTGGGGGAGGGCGTTGTCATGCAACGTGACATCAACATTGATGAGCCTTCTGAAAGAGGACTTTAAAAGTCATTTCCACAACTTATACAGCCAAGCACAGAAGTATATTATGGCAGGTGGGGATTACTTCAAAACATATTAAAAGGTTATGTTTTTCACATCATCTGTTCTGGTGTTATTAGAGCAGTTCTGGAAATTAATAGCCACACCTTGTATTATACAACAAATTTGTATATGAAGTACATACTAACTACATGCATGTGATGGGATCAGTTTTTAATTAAAATAAAACAAGCTGTTTTTAATGATTTTATTGCAAAACTTTGATTAGAACGCTAATCGTTAGCTGTAAGGTCAATCACAGTATAATAGAGATTGGAAATCAATCGTATCATATTACTAGGAATTATAATAAAATGAATTTTTCAGGTCAAATTTGTAAAAGGCTTTTTACTTGTTAAATGTAATTTTAATTGATGAAAAACTATTAATATTTTTATTTAATGTAATGCCATCATTAATTGGTGAGATTAAACTAGCTTTTAAAGATTCTTTATTTTTACAATCATAACATCTTTAATGAAATAACTAAAGCAAATTACCGGTTAGAGTTCACTGCAAACACGCCTTAATAGGGTTTCCATAATATTAAACTACTTACATTACCATAAATAAAATAATGATTTGGCGATAAATGAAACAACAACTTGGCGATAATCCAAGGGGCACCCTAAAATATAGATTAACTGAATTTTGGATTAATTGTCTAATTTTAATGTAAATTTTATATTGTTTGTTATTTTCTGAATGCCCCTTACTTAAAAATGAACATTTCTGCTGTTATTGAAGTATGAAATTGTAAAATATTTTTTATCATCCGAAATGATATAGTATGTAAAGCTTTTTTCATTTGAACTGTATAGATTCAAAAATTATTAAAAAATTTTTCAGCATCTTTTGGAATTTCTGTACATTATCAAAGTTGTAATGAACTTCTGGTACTTTTTCCATTTTGCTGGTGCAGGCAATTAAGTCATCAAAAAGGGTACAACTGATGCCAAACTGAATTTTCCTGCTGGTAACCTTTTACTCCACATTTTCAAAATAGATTGCGACCATTTCGCATCGGATTGATCATTGATCATTTCTTTCAAAAGTGGTATACAGTTGCATAGCATTTTTACCAGATAGTAATTTTATGCCGTAAGGGCATTCACGGTAATTAATTCAAATAGTGTGCATTCGCACCACTCACCCGAAGATGAAAATATAGGAAATTCAAAGTCTGTTTAAATTCATCAATTCTAATGAGAATAGTAAAGTACTGTGGTTGTACGCAATTTCTGAGTGAGCAGTTCGTGCGAATTGAAATAATTCTTGCATTTAAACTTACATTCCATATTAAGATTTAACTTGAAATTAATGTAGATAATTACTGAGAGAAGTAGATTTTTGTAGTGAAGACATGGCAGTTTACGTGAGATGAGATCACTTAGGGTCACATCAGAGCTTAAATTGTGCCATAGCCCACTGGAGCCTTAAATAAGAAAGCTTCAACACTTCTTTTATGTATCTGAACAACAAATTCAGCAGAAAATTGATCTCAAAAATTTTATTTTTAGTAATAAAATTATACTAAAAATCAATTTTTAACTTATTTAACGTTTAGATGAATGTGTACCTGTCTTTCCGTGAAAAACAAACCCGGGTAGAGTAGACTTTAAGGTATTATGGCGAAGTTGTTGTTTGATTTATCGCCAAGTTGCTGTTTCATTTATGGTAGCCTGAGTAGTTTAATGTTATGGACCCTACTGTGACGTAATCGGGTGCATGATTCTGGGAAAATTTTGAATCGTGGGATGTTTTGTAAGTGTTTTTGTGGTGTGTGTTAGTTTGATTCTTTAGACGGTAGAATGGCCGAATGTAGTAAGATTAATTTGAAGTTTCTGAACGATTTGGAGCGAAAGGGTAAAGAGCACGTTTGGGATGCTTTAGGAAGACGTCTAGCTGCTCTCAATCCGCTCCTTCAAACCCTTGCCGCGTTTGCAACTGCTTTGCAAGAGCAATGACTCTTGCTTCCTATGGAACTGATGGACAGCATAATTGAAAGCATCCCACATCACAGAATGTGCTGTACTGCTTTTAGAGGCGATCATATTCAAGGATGTCATCTCTATAACCTGAGCATTTGTGATTCCCCTTGGAAAAACATGGAGGTCTGTGCGTCCACCCGAAGAGGTGCCACCCCAAACACAGACACTGCCTCTTTCGTATGAATCTCTTTCACAGATGTTTGACGGATGATAACGGGTTCCAGGTTCTCTCCATATCAAATGACGCCTACTGTCACTTTCTAGAGTAAACCTGGACTCATCCGTAAAGAGAACAGCTCTCGATTGATCAGTCGTCCACTGGACATGTCGTGCCCACTGCAAACGGTCCTTCCTATGGCATGACATGAGCGACACGCAAATGGCTGGTCACCTCGCATGCAGACCACCTTCGTGAAGCCTTCTACGCACAGTTGACATTGACACCAACCTTCCGGTGGCTATGGCAAGGGAGGATCTAAGTAGAGTTGGAGTAGCGGCTCTATTCTTGCGTGCAGATAATATTAAATACCGGTCATCGGCGCTTGTCATAGCAGTCATAGCCAAATCTGCGGTTTGAAATTCTCTCCAAAGTCTATGAACCACAGAAGGATTCATATTTAGCCATCTGGCCACTTCTGTTTGACTTTGTCCTGCCTCTAGTCTCCCAATGGCTCTCCATCGTAGTTCTGCGGGCAAATGATGCTTGGAAGTCATTGGTACGAATTGGCTATCTCAGATTTCTGACGTCACTATCACAGTAAAATATGTGGGCTTGCTTTCAAACATGAACTTTTATGTTCCTTGCAGATTATGTATTCCGAGTGCTGCGTCACTAATTTGCATATTGCAGTTTTACTCAGTTACTCTTACTTGGTAACATATTCAAATTTTACACGGTTTGGCTTATTTTTAAGGGAGTTATCAGTATTTTTGTCATTTTTCCTTAATTTATGATAACCAGTGTATTTTTCAGTACTTAATGGAAAATCCCATCGACCACAAGAGACAGCGCTAAATAACCCCCCCCCCAAAAAAAAAATTACTAAATGCAAGAAAAAACATTCTATTCTTATTTTTCTTTAAAAATTTATTATATTATCATTTATTTATATTTAATTTTTCATTAAACATTTCTATCATTTTTTATTAAGGAGATATACTCTAAAAGCAATTTTTTCCCCTAAGTTTTAATTTTTGTAAGAAAATATAAGTCTCGCGAAATACTTTTTTTCCCCCTCAAATAATAATAAAAAAGCAGAAATTTTTCACTTACCAAATTTCACGAAATTTTCAGCTAGTGAAATCTCTGATATCTTAATTTTCTCGAAAATCATGGCCTTGATTACACTTAACACTTGTAATCAAGGTTACACGCAACCCAGCATGTTTGAAGAAGACTTTTCCATTTTTAGCAAAAAATCATTAAGTTGGGCATCTTTTCCTTAATAGGCAAAAATGGTCAATGGGATTTTCTGTAAGTACCTATTTTTCTATAATAGCTTTCTTATTTTTCTATAATAACATGATAAATAGCTAACCTATTTTTCCATAATAACACGATAAATTTATTAAAGTAGTATTGGTGTTTGGGAATAGCGAATTGTGTAAACATAATATGTTCATTGTGTTGTTATGTCAGTCAGTGGTTTATAGCTCCAACAGCATGCAGGGCAAATGCATGATCTAAAAACAGATCACAGGCCAGATTGTTTTAAATAAAATGAAATTTTTTTTATTAAAACGGAAAAAAAAATCTAAAAGTTTTGATTTTACATTACTAAAGGGGCGTTTTTTAACATTTTGTGTATTACTTTTATTTATTAAATATCATGTTCTTCACATTTAAAGCATAAAATTCAATTTAACAGCAATATCACAAAATATTTATCATTTTAAAGCATATCTGTAGAATTTCTGATACATAGTCTCCCACACTGGAGATAAAAATATTTTTATGAAGGCTTATACTGCTCTATCCCTAAAGTGTTGCCAAATTTCAAATTCCGAATTAGGGCTTCCAGATACCCATTATTCGGTGGAAGATTATGTTATTCAAAATTGGATGGGTGTAGGTACTGTTGTTTTATCACAATGTGATAAACATTAACCTTGTCATGCTTTCATTTCATCTTTCTGTCAGTTATGAAAGTACATGGATTCTCGAGAAGTTCAATTTTCAGGTCATTTTCTCGTCTATCAATAAAACCCATAGTTCGATATTTAAAGATTCTATTTCTGATTTTAATTTTTGGGAAATTTATAGCATATCACATCACTGTTGTTTGAGATATATCAGCTGAACTAAAAGAGTATTAAAGTTTTGTATAAAAAAACATGAATCTTGCATCTGAATAGGCGAAATTAAGTTTTCGACTTCTAATCATAGTTGGGAATTCAATCATAATTTTGACTTTGGGTCTGCAGAAATTATCCAGAAAGCTTCTTCATAGTTCTTCAGTTGGTAAATTGGATTTTTCTTGAAGCTTTTCCTATTCACAAAGATTTATCTTCTTTAGTTAATGACTTTAAGTCCAATCCTTCCTAATGCTTTTAAAATTATATTAACTTAATTTTTAAATTTTTTTACTGTTTTTGCCAACAGATAGCACTACCTTCTCATTTGCGTTACTGCCTTAATAGGGTATAAATACGACTGTTACACCCACTGTTTTCAAGTCTTGCAGATTTCTTTGCTCCTGATGAAGAGGGACCTCTGTCTGTTTGACTTTGAAATCAATCGAGTTCTTGACTAGATGTATGCCAGAAACAATGCTTTGCTAATTTTATGATACAAAGGAATTAATTGATGATTTAATTTTGTCCAAAATTAAATGTTGATTTCGTTTTTTTTTTAAATTTTTTTATTTATTTTTTATAAATGTGATACAAATGAACTAAACATTATTTCTGTTAATTCAGGTACAGTTTAAATTTTAAGGTATGTAAAATTTTTTGGGGTAGTTAAGTATTTTAAATAAATCTACTCTTTTATGAAAGAATTTAAAATTTTTGTGTTTTAGTTTGGTGAAAATCTTAATCTCCATCAGATCTGTAATAAACATAAAGAGGATACCGAAATGTCTTGAGCTATTATTCCCATCCTTCTCCATATGTTAATGATATTCTTAATATTTACCATTGCTTCTATGCTTTCCAACTTTGTAAATATAACCTAATGTAATCTGTTTTTTTAATTCCTGCGAATATTAATAATCTTAAATTCTTTTATCATTTATATCTTTGCATGCTTTCATGTTTTATTTGTTGCCATTTATCACACTAATTACAATTTTTTAGAGCTAAAAGTCAAAATATGGATTTCCAACATCGTGCTGGAGGTAAAACTGGTACTGGAGGTGTTGCATCATGGTCCGAAACAAATCGAGACAGGAGAGAGAGGCTTCGACAGCTCGCTCTGGAAACTATTGACCTAAATAAAGACCCATATTTTATGAAGAACCATTTAGGTAAAATTTTTTCCTTATATGCATGGCAAAACATCAAAGTTGTGTTTACAAATTTTAAGATGTTCCAGGGTGATTTCAAAATTCATCCTAAATACTTTTTTATTACTTTCTTGGTTTTCTTTAATATAATACAGGGTGCGGCTGGGAAACTTCCATATTTGAAACTCGCGATACCTACCGACATTTATTCTGAGAAGGGTGGGGTGGCGCTTATTGAAAAGAGCGGTATCTAAAGTTTTATGTCATGTAGGTTTAGTGCCGATCATGGAGTGGACGAAAGAGGAGCGCACGTTCTCCGTGGAGTCGTGCTTTTCAACGTACTGCATTTTCATCCGTATAAATTGGCAGTGGTGCAAACACTTCATCCTCGTGATTTTCTTTCACGAAAAAATTCTTGCAAAGCCGTTCTTGACAGTACGCCTCATGATGCCGCTTGAGTTCTTTAGTGATGAGGCTCATTTTCATCTTTCCGGTTGCAGTATGCATTAACCAAGCATGCGATAATGGTGTGGCACGAATTCCCGAGAGCAGCCCCTCCATGCAGAACGTGTAACTGTTTGGTGTGCATTGTTCAGAATAGGCATCATTGGACCATGTATTTTTGGAGAACATTTCCCTGGATGCCTTATCTCCTTACCAGGTGATTGTCAGTGGCCAGCACACTCGCCTGATTTAGCCCCGTGTGATTTCTTTTTGTGGGGCTATCTGAAATCTCTAACATCCAAAGACCCTGGTTCAACTCAAGAACAATATTCAAGTTGGTATCGACAACATACCCGTTGATATGTTGGTAAAAGTGGAAGGAAACTTCAAAACTCGACTGTCTCAATGCATTGACCAGAACGGAGGCCACTTTAATGATATTATTTTTAAACCGTAATAAAAAAAAAAAAAAAAAAAAAAAAAACTTTAAATGTCTCTTTATAACTTTGAACAAAATTAAACTGATATTGCATATACTATTTGTGTTATTCATTTTTAAAATAAGGTAGTTTCCTTGCCGCACCTTGTATAATATATTAAATAAATTTAATTTTGTGTTTTTGCGATATTTTACTTAGGCTAAGTGTCTCAGCCTTGCCACCTCAGCATGTTTGATATGCTGTTTAACAGTCATATATTTATATATCTTGTAGGTTATTACAGTCAAAAGTCATTAATTCGGACACCCATAATCCGGACCTCAAAGCTACAAACTTTTTGCGCATGCGTAAATGCATCACATCATACGTTTACGCATGCGCGGTTAAGACGTTTACGCATGCACATGCGTAAAGCATTTGCCGCATATGTGTTTAAGCATGCGCAGAATACGTTTACGCATGCGCGTTTAATGTATAATGGACGGTATAACCTAAGCTAAAATTATGTAATTCTGTTAATGTTGCAGATTGCGTTGTTCCTTAATCTTTGAATTGGATCCGGCTTATTATTTTTTGCAGACTGTTAGAGCAATTTTATAAAAGTAAGCTTGAACTTTCGATTATGTCAAATAGAATTTCCGATATATATTACTAATATGTAAAGGATCTACAAAGCGAAAGTATGTTTCGAAGTACATTAAACAAAAAGTGGAATTGCTGCAAAAAATGGATAAAGGCATATCCTTTGTTTCTTAACCATTCCGAAATCTGTTTATCGATTTCAAGCTGCTCTGCAGGGGGGGGGGTTCGCGCAATGAACTGGAAGTTGATCTGTCAGCACTATCCTTATCTTCAAAGCAGATTTTTTTTTAATTCAGCTTATAATTCCTTACTAAATGTAGTATTTCATCTCGATGTACTCCATCTTTGATATCAATTAAGTCAAATTCCTCGTCATTATAAATATCACGAATACACATCAAATAGTTTTCTGGTTGCAATTTTCTAATTTCGACTATGTGTAATGTATGCTTTACGCATGCGCGCATTGAAAGAAATGTTTAAGAAAGTAAACAAATAAATAATTATCTCTTTTTTTTTTTTTGTAAATTTTGATACCTGTTAGATCATAATCGCTCTTTATTTCATAAATTACGGTTTCATATTTTTAATTTTGTAATTTCTGCATGCCATCTTACCAGATTTAAATTGATGATCTATAATCCGGAATCACCGAAGTTCCAACGAGTCCGGATTAACGACTTTTGACTGTATTGCCTAAAATTAGATATCTTCTGTGTAATTATTGCTTAACACTGGTCATCAAAATTTAAAGGATAATGAGAACACATATGCTCACTAAGATAATGTTACAACAGTGTTTAGTGTTATAGTTATTTAAGTTACTTAAATACAATTGAATACAAAATTGCATTGAAATATGCAAATTCAGTGATTGACAATGGATATGTGTTGGATTGACAATGGGTGCACAATGGATGCATGTTGGAATTCCGGTCTGTAGTGTTTAAAGCGAATGTGGGTTTTGAGAGTGATCAGTATACAGTAGTTACAGCTCAAAAGCATGTGTAATTGAAGGGTGTCCAGCGGATGTCTGAATGCGACTCCAGACCGATTTTGAATTTGTAAACTTTTCATTACAACGGACAGTTGACATTGTGCTCTGGAGGAAAGAATTTGTATCACTCTTGCTACGGATATAATTTGTAATCTGGAATTTTTGGTAAGTTAACTATAATTTATTTCGTAGTATGTAACATGTATTATTGTTTTAATAACACAAAACTTGTATTTTTCTAAATTTTTTATTTATTTCTTTTAAAAATATGATGACAGAGAACGAAAATAAAAAAAGAAAATACGAGCATGAAAATAGAAGTTTTAATAATGAGTGGGAGGAGAATTTCTTTTTCTATTCAAAATAACGGAAAAGCATTATGTGTTATTTATAATTCTACAGTCAAAAATTATAAAGCTAGCAATTTACGTCTACATTATGAAACCAATCATCCTCAGTTTTCTAATCAGTATCCACCAAATTCCAAATTAAGATCAGATAAACTTGCTTCTTTAAAATCAAATTTAAATACACAAGATAATAATCAATTTTGATGACTTTAGCAATCAAGCTGAAGCCAGTTTTGTTATTGCCTGGAATATTGCTCATGCAAAATGCCCGTATGGAGAGGGAGAGTTTATTAAAAAAAAACTTGGAAGATGTGCTTAAAGTTTTAGATCCAGATAATGCATTATAGCACAAAGTTGTTTCTCAAATTCCCATCTCGAGACACACAACCGAACAACACATGACTGTAGTTAATACATCTCTTGAATATAATTTAAAAAATGATTTGAAGAACTGTATTGCATTCAGCTTAGCCCTTGACGAATCGACAAATATCACAGATCTCCCACAATTGGCAGTTTTCATATGTTTTGTTTCACCTGATTTCGTTGTTAAAGAAGAATTATTAAATTTAGTAGCATTTCAAGAGTCAACCCGCGGTGTGGATATTAAAAATGCATTAGATTCCATAATGAAAACTTTTGATGTGCCTCTTAATAAACTTGTAAGCATTGCAACTGATGGAGCTCTGACAGTGCTGGGTAAAAAAAATTGGTCTTATTGGGCTTTTTAAGAGATGATTCTCCAATTCCACAATTCATACCGATTAACTGCATAATTCACTGAATATGTTGTTACAAAATATCCGGATGTTATAAAGACAGTGTTACACACTGTAAATTGCATTCACACCAATGGAAAAAATCATCGAAAATTCAAAAATTTCCTTGAAGAATTAAAGGAGGTCATTAATTTCTTTTCTTCCAAATGACATTAATTTCTTTTCCATTGTTAGATGGTTATCTAGCTACAATATATTAAATTGATTTGTAGAATTGCTTGGTCCAATAACTGCATTTCTAAAAAAAAAAAAAGGAAATAACTTATTCAGAATTAGAGGATGACAAGTGGTTACAAGACAATGTTTTTGACTGATGTCATGGAACATTTGCAAACACTGAATTTTCAATTGCAGGGGAAAGATAAAATAATATCTGACCTCTCGCAGTGCATATTTAGTTTTCAAACTAAATTACAACTTTTCAAAAGGACATTAAAAATAAAACATTTTGTTTATTTCCTCCAATTAAAATATTTGTTCCAATATTAAACAAGAAAACCTCAACAAGTATATAAAAAAGCTAGAAGAAATACTGACAGAATTCCAAAATAGATTCCAAGACTTGAAATATTTTAAATCGTCTCTTGATTTTTTTCTGAATCTATTTGAAATTAACATAATAATAATTCAAGGGGAGCTTTCCATTTCCAATATAATTATGACCCAAAAAGAATCTGGAGAGTTAGAATTAATAGAGATGCAAGAATATCAAGCTGTACAATTAAAATATAAGTCGACACCCATTACTGAATTTTGGAAATTTGTACCAGAATCGAAGTATCTTGAATTAAAAAAGGCTGCTTGTCGAATTATTTCAATATTCGGAACAACACTCTTATGTGAATCATTTTATTCCACTTTAAAATTCATGAAATCCAAGCACCGATTAGTATTAACTAACCAGCATCTCAAAAAATTACTGAGAAGTGCTGTCACCAATTATTCACCAAATTTTAACACATTGACTGCCAGTCACTAGAGTTAAATCCATATGGGTGGCAATAACTAGTCACTAATTATTGCCACCCATATGGAAGTAAATTGTATCCAGATGCCAACATACTTATTATAAGAAATATGATTTAAAAATATTAATAAAAGATAATTATGTGATACCTAAGTATTATTTAAGCCTTTTATTAAAGAATTTTTTAATTATGCGCTATGGTAATGTATTTCAGATACTCGCGCGTTGAACAAATTCACCATATCTCTTACTTTATACGGTTGATCCTTTGGAAGCTCTATTCTGATCTGGGATTTTTACGAAGTGCAATGCCCTCAGTAACATCAAAAACCGATTCCTGCTCATATTTTCTGAAAATATACGTAAACCAAACAGTGAATCTGTTTTTTAGTAATCTTGTATAGGGTTGTTTCGTATAGTTCCCATATGTATGATCAATCTCACAAATACCAAGAGTTCCTCTTTTGTGGTGCTTTTCCAAGCATTGATGCGAGAATGTTTCTTTTTTTTTCCTTGCAAACAAGTACTTTATGAGCATAATCATAAGTTTCAGTAACTATTTCTTCCAAGATACCATCAGTGAAAAAATGACAAAAGAAATCTATAGGATTGTTACCTGAAACAGGTTGGAGCAAACACTCGGATTTTATGAAAGGAAATTTTTTCATTGATGTTGAATCGTTTTCCCAAGTAATGTTTTCCGCCATAGTTGAATCATTCTACTGACATGCAGCCTCTTGCATGATTCGTTCTTCATCATCATCAGAATCCGAAATATCATGGGTACCAGTCGGAGGAACGAATTCTTCGTCACTGTCATAACTAAAATCGCTCGGGTACTCATCCGATAGCTCAGCCAACAAATTTGCTATTTCATCATCCGTAAGAGCCTTTTTATATTGAACTTTTATTTTTTACTTGTGCGAAGGCCCTGCTCTATCATCTCTATAACTCATACTAAAAGATTATTTTTTTAATAAAAAATAAAACAATAGTTTCGAAACCGCGATTATTTATACGTAGTTTCTAATTTTCACTCCATGCCAATACCAGAAGAAATGCCCTGCATGCAATGCCAAATGAACTGGAGAATAAATAACAAGTATAGGATTTTCGAGTGCCAGCGCACGACTGGCTGCTGAGACATCACCCCACATCACGCGCTGGCGCGTGATTGGCTTTTTGCTGATAACAAAACGTCACGTGCCAGTGCGTGATTGGCAGTCAGTGTGTTAAAGAATTATAAGGAGAAGTAAAATAAATGTGTTTAGTTTTTAATAGTTAAATTCATTACACATATTTTGTACTTTTATTTATATGTTTTCAATAAATATAATTTCTGTAAAAAAAAAAAAAAAACTTTTTTGCTTACCTTTTACATGTGGCTCACGAAAAATTTCAAATTTTGAAAAATGGCTCGGACTATCAAGGAGCTTGGCCAACCCTGGTATATAGCATCATTCTAACATGGGTATTTTGACTCAAAATTGGACTTTTTCTGAAATGACATGTCAATTTTTTTCTATGTTTTGATTCTACGATGCGATATCATTTGAATTCTTTCCTATTTCTTGATAGGGCACGAGGTCCTGCCTGGATTGAAACACTAACATTTCGAAATTATTCTATTTTGAGAATGTTCATAAAATTATGCATCAAAAACATCCTTTCCCTCTTAGAGATGTCATTTTGTTTATTATGTAATACTAAATTTGGCAGTTTATCAAAATTTTGGCCATTTCAAGATCAATTTGTGTACAAAATTTTGATCCAGATATTTACAAATTCTTCGACAATTTTTTAAAAACATAATAAAATTAAAAAATATCGTTAAAAGGATGATAAAATATTAAAATTTTAACTTTATCACATTAAATTATTTTTTTTAAATCACATTAAAATAAAACACTTTTATTTTTTTATGTCACATACTTTCCATTTTGTTGTTTCAGTTTGTTCCACTAAGGAATTTTTTGATTCTGAGAAATAAGTAAGATAATAAATGCTATGAAACTTGGTTTCTGAAGTGCTACTTAGCAAAATCAAAAAAGTCATTTTAAAATTAATTTCATTTTTCTTCTTATATATTTTTTCATAAGAGTTTTTTCCCCGATGTAATTGTCTCAGGATATTCAAATATGTGTCAGTTTCCTCTTAAAAATTCACTTTTCACCTTGCGCCTTGAAAGGCTTACAAGGATTTGAAATCAAGATTTATAAATCTACAATTCTAGAAGATTCTAGAAAAGTATGACCAAAAGAAAGATGTTTTCGTGGTATTAATGTGTAATGAAAGTGTATTATTATTATAGGAAAAGTGTTATAAGAAAATAAACTTATTTTATGGAAAATTTTTGGAAGAACAGTGAAAATAAAGTTACTTGAATTTTCTGATTTTGGTCCTAGAAGTCTTTTTGCTGTGTTCAGTTGTGGGTGATGCACAGGAGTAAGACTTTAGTCAATATTCAAGATATAGCATGGTAGCACTGTCATTATCTTCCCATTAATTTCTTGTCTTTTCACTAGACACAAACACGGAAAATTGCAAATATAGATCTAATCTTGTTCTACGGACAGGCATCTGTAGAAAGGAATTTTTCTGTTACAAATGGAAAACTGAGGATTTAATGTGTACTAGATAATAAAAATGTAAAAATTAATCTCCTTTTACTGAAACTCCAATTCAGAACTCATCAGGGGAAAATGAATTAAAGTTTCGTAATGTCGATGTATTTCGAAAACATGTTTCATTCTCCAGGTTCAGATTAAAATTCATATAAAATCAAATCTCAAATGTGCCAGAATTTTCTCAACACGCTTTCGAAACACTTAGAAAAAGAATAAAACATAACATTGTGCCAAATTGACTATTCAATAAAGCCATAAAACTTATGTAAAATGACCATTAAAAAAAAAAAAAAAAAAACCAAATTGGTCTGAAACCATTATATGCAAATCCGAAATTCAAAAGCAAATACAAATAAAGAGCAGAACAAATATTCTTTAAACCAGATTGTCATTTAAACAACACTAAAAAAATGGGTGGTCCCCGATTATGCTAACCTAAACTTTAAATACCAAGAAAATGCAAAACTATACCCGCGCTCTTACCCAGCTCGGTGAGCTGCTTTTTTTTTTTTACTCGTATATGTTGGTAAATTTTGCATTTTTTGCTTTGAAAAGTTATTGAATTGTGCTTTTCTTGTGTTCCATTTAGGATTTTTATTCCTTTAAGTTAATCTGCATGCAGTATTTTTAGAATTATGAACAATTTAATAGTCAAGTGGCCAAAAATTCAGATGCTAGTATTCACCTTAAGATGACTAACTATATAAGCAAAACTTGACTAAATTGAAGTGACAAGTCAGCATCAGGCACCATCACTATTGAACAGGAAAATTAAGTTCATTCAGTTATATTTGTTTTTGTAATAATTTTAATTTTAATGTTTAAAGTTTAACATGTTAAGTCAAATTTATGAACAGTTTGCAGTATAAGGTTCTGTCTTTGGTGCACTTGTACCCATTTTGGTCACTGCTGCATTAATGAAAGAGAATAAAATTCCAATTTCTGTGATTTCATCTTACTGAAGTAGCATAGCATTAATTTGTAGATAATGGAAGTTTGGAGACTTAAGCTAAAATATTTATTTGGAGACAGTTGTAAATACAGTTATTAATAGAACATGCTAGCTTGCATCAATACTGAACATATAAATATTGTGCTAAAAATCACTACTAAAGTAATAACATTTTTGACAGTTAAGAGACATTTATTTTTTGACAGCATAGATTTTTAGGTCGGCAAAAAAAAGATGAAGTTATTAAATTTTATGAATGTTTAATTTTTATAATATAAAATAAGTATTCAATTGTCTTTTCAAATTGTCTTTTACAATGTTAAATTGTAGATAATTTTTATTTATTGTAAAATGTAAAGAGCTTCATTATTAATTAAAGTTATTAAATAAACTTCATTCCAAGATATATTGCATTATACTGTGCTAGATTTATTTAATCTAGAATTCCTCTACACAAAGATAAAAATATAAGGAGGATAAATTAAGGAAATTAAGGGAGGAAAAAGGAAGTTTAAAATGTAGATAAATGAGGAAGCAAAGATATGTACATAATAAATAAGGATGTAATGTTTATATTAAAGCGTTAGGTTCTTGTATAATGAGCTTTCATTTTTATGTAAATAAATTTCAGTCAGCTTATTTCATTTTATATTAGTTCACAGCTGAGAACATTCTAACAAAATATATGTAGAAATAATTTGATTTGGTCAGTCATTTTAATATGTAGGAATATATTTGAATTGTTAAGAATTCATGTTATATGGCTTGAAATATGAAATTTAATTTACTGTATGGTGTTGGGGCATCTACTGCTTACTTGAAATTCAACACTGGAATAATTGTGAATTAATATTGGAATACTAAGGCATGTTGTTTTCGATATTTTATACAACTGAATCTATTGTGATAATTTTAATGCTGTGCTGTGTCAGTCTCATTGATAAATATGCATTTATACGTATGTGTTTGTGTTAATTTTTATTTTTGTCTTTTGTTAAAACTTCTGCAATTAATTTTCTGTATACTGCAGGTTCATATGAATGCAAACTTTGTCTTACTCTTCACAACAATGAAGGAAGTTATTTAGCACATACTCAAGGTAAGAAACATCAAGCTAACCTAGCACGACGAGCAGCTAAAGAAGCTAAGGAATCCCCTCAACAGCCTGCACCTGCTAAACCTCGTGTTGACATAAAGAAATTTGCCAAGATCGGACGTCCTGGTTACAGAGTTACTAAACAAAGAGAAAAAGAAACAGGGCAACAGAGCTTGCTTTTCCAGATAGATTATCCTGAAATTGGTGAAGGTATTGCTCCAAGGCACCGTTTCATGTCTGCTTATGAGCAGAAGGTTGAACCTCCAGATCGTCGTTGGCAATATTTGTTATTTGCTGCTGAGCCATACGAGACCATCGCTTTTAAGGTGCCAAGTCGTGAAGTTGATAAAAGTGAAGGCAAATTTTGGGTTATGTGGAACAAAGAAACTAAACAATTTTTTCTTCAGTTTAGTTTTAAAGTAGAGCCCAAAGTTATCAAGCTTCCTCCTCCACCACCACCTAATGCTCCACCAGGACCAGTGCCAGCTCAACGTCCAAGTGCACCACCTCAAAATATGCCTCCTCCTCCACCTCCTGCACCAATGATGCCACCTCCTCCCAGACCAATGGGAATGCCTCCACCACCACCTCTGCCAAGTGGTATACCTCCTAGTTTTCCTTCTATGCCTCCACCACCAATGAATCAGTTTCAACATATGCAAACAAGACCTCCTCCACCGATGAATATGAATTTTGTGCCTCCTCCTCCACCTCCTATGATGCGTCCACCAGGTCCTCCACCGCCACCTACAAGTGCTCCTGCTCCTGCTCCACCACCTCCTCCAGCTCCAATGCCTAAATTTACGGCTCCTCCTCCTCCAGCTCCTCCAGCTCCACCAGCAACACAACCAAATCCACCTCCATCAGTCCCAGGAAATCCCCCAATGCCACCACGTGTGGAATCTCCCCCAGTCTCTCCACCTTCACCTCCATTATCAGATGGCGAAAAGTAATGTTAGCCATGTAATTAAGATATTTGGTACTTTAAAAAATGAAATCAGTTCAAATTGTTTCTTCAAGGTGTATAACATTATACATTTGTATTTAACCTCAACTAAATTTGTTTAATCTTCGGTTGTAATTCAATCAGTAGAGCATCATAATTGAATATTTCATGGTTTATTCATCAAACATAATTTCGCTTGTAATCTGCTAAAGGCTCCGTGAAATAAAATACTATTAAAAAAAAGAGGGAATAAAGAAGTAATGAGCAAGTAAAAATTATTTTTATTTAGCAGTAGTATCAGTTGTATAAAAATTAGTTTGTTTTATAAATAAATACACAATATAAAATTAATGTTAATAAAAGTAAGGCAAATAATAATTAATTGCAATAATTGGAAAAAAATGTTTCACTCTTTCACAGGCATCAAAGTTGATTTTATTGTTACATAACAGTGTACAATAAATAATGTACAGTTACAGTCTGTCTATCATTAGAAAAGCTCTCGCCAGTTAGTCTGCAGCTGTCTGTTGCTGTAGGAACGAGCCTTGACCCGTTGTCAGTAGGGGTGTTTTGAAGCCTAATTATAAACTGTTTTTCCCTCAGCCAACAGTCGCCGAAAACGTTCGCCCGTATTTGAAATATACTAGCCCTTTTGCTATTACACAATATAAAATTGATGTTAATAAAAGTAAGGCAAGTAGTAATTAATTGCAGTAATTGAAAAAAATTTTCACTTCTTGTTTAGCCGTCAAAGTTGATTTTATCATTACTGAATAGTGTACAATAATGTACAATTACGGTCTGTCTATCATACAAAAAGCTTTCTCCAGTTAGTCTGCAGCTGTCTGTTGCCATAGAAACGAGACTTGACCCATTGTCCTTAGGGGTGTCTTGAAGACTTAATAATAAATACTAGCCTAGAATAATAATAATTTTAATATAAATACTAGCCTAGAAATATGCTAGCCCTGTTGCTATTATACTATATAAGATTGATGTTAATAAAATTAAGGCAAATAATAATTAATTGCAATTATTGAAAAAATGTTTCACTCATTGTTCAATCAACAAAGTTGATTTTATCATTACTGAATAGTGTACAGTAATGTACAATTACAGTCTGTCTATCATACAAAAAGCTTTCGCCAGTTAGTCTGGAGCTGGAATAGCAGCATAGAAATCTTTTAGCTAAAACTTCGCCTTTTATGTGTTTTGGAATGAATTAAATTAATTATTTCGTAAGATTAAATTAATTGATTTTATTTAAAAATTAAATAAACTAGGATTAAATTAGTTTAAAATAGGATTAAATTAATGTTTTCATTGTACAAATGGTTAAATTAATGTTTTCATTGTACAAATGTTTCCAATTTATCCCATTTTTCTTTAGTAACTGCTTTTAATAGTTAGTCATACCAGTCTGCAGCTTGCCATAGAAATGAGCCTTGACCCATTGTCCTTAGGGGTGTCTTGAAGACTTAAATTATAAACTGTTTTCCCTTCAACCAACAGTCGCCAAAAAGAAAATAACAATAAAGCAACCCTTGGTTCAGCCCCTATTTGAAATATACTAGCCCTGTTGCTATAGCGACCGCCACCCACCAGACACTGTGGCGGGGTTGTTCTACTCGTAGACAGACAAGTATCTTTAGTAGGTCTTTTTGTTAAAATATGATACTGATTATTTAGGTATGCCAACTATTTATTGTGGGTTTTCCATAATTGCCGATTCCTACGTTGTTATGTAATTATGAATGTTACATAAATTGCTATAGAAAATGCCAAGTTATCGCATGACTGGTGCATACAAGTGAGCAAAAGTGAAAGATCAATATTTATGAAAGTGCCAGTGTCATGATTAATATATCGTATCACCTCCAACGGTTGTGCTGATATCTTAACCAGGATATCATATCAGCTCAAATTGTAACATTATATGCACATACTGTATGAGCCATGTCAGACTTTACTGAATTGCCTGTTGAAGCTATTAAATACATGTATGTGTGACCATCACGTGTATTTGTATTAAAAAGTGTTGATAAATATACTGACCGTGTTCCTTCCAAAAAGACAAAGTTCTTCAGGATACAAATTTGCTGTGAAGAGTTGCCATGTTTATGGGCTTCAAAGTTTTCAGAAAATTTTATTGTATTCATGACCTCTCAATCATGATGACTGAATATGGCATGTGAAATCTAAAAAACATCAAATTGCATGAAAATAAAATTTATTTAGTTCAAAATGCAAGTTTTTTTTATATTATTTTTGGTGGAACACAGTTTTCCAATATCATATGCTAATTGTGCTAGTTCTTTGTCTTGTCAAGGTTTTCCGATCTGTCATAGCCAGAAACCTGAACATGGAAGGACTAAAGCTACTGCTCTAGTTAAGTGCATGGTGAATTCTACATATAAGGAAAATGAAAAAGAGTGTATTGTTTCAAAATGCCCCGTTTGCATTAGCTGTGGATCGTAATTCAGATTAAATATGTAAGAATTTATTTTATTGTAACCAATTATTTTTAGTTTCATTTCCCTGTTCCTCCTGATTTCAGTTTCCTGCCGGAATATAAATTTTGTATCATGTAGATTCAAATTCTCAGCATGTT